GCCTTAAAAAACCGAGCCCCCCCCCCTGCCATGGGCAGGGACCCCCCCCACTAGCCCAGGTTGCTCAGTAAATTTGACTTTTATAAAAAAAAAAACAAACCCCACACAACAGCCTCTGATCTTAAACCCCCTGAGCTGTACCTTGAACTTTTTGCTTTTTTTTTTTTTCTGCAGCAAAACCCAAACACAGACCAACCACATTTCTAGCCCGTCAGTAAGGGAAATATCAGCTGCCTCCAGGGTGGGAACACTCACATCCTCAGCTCCTTTTTTTTTCAGGTCACAGCATCCAAATGCCCCCGAGGCCTCCCACATGCCCAGGGGGTAGGTGTGCAGGAGGGGAAGCAGCCAAAAAGAAATCAGCACAAAGTGTGTCAGATTTCCCCACTCTGCCCCATTTCACTCTGAAATACCACTGGACTGGCTGGCCCATTACTTTCCAGGCTATTCCTAGGAATTATTTCCAATTTCCACTTCCAGAAAGGGTCCTGCCCTTCCCATTACCTTGCTAGAAAGAGTCTAATAAGGACAAATGCAAAAAAAAAAAAAAAAAAAACCTCAGACCTCACGTCCAAGTGTGCTGAGCTTAACTCTGTGTTCTCCATAGGTTCAAGATTAGAAGCAAGCTCAGTGCTGTGCTCTTTCAGAGGCAAATAAACAGTAAACCACACTTGGAATTCAAGTTTTTTTTTAATATGATGGGCTAAGGGCATGTTTTAGACACGGTCAGAACCCACACTGCCTGGGGAAGGCTCCCAGTGCAGGCTCACGGGGGAACTCGCCAGTGAACACAAATAGGGAACTTCCAGCCACACTCCTCTTTACCCCCTCAATCAGAGCAATGTATTTTTCCACCCAGGAATAAGGAAGGAGGGGAAATGTCATTTCTTGCCCTTTTGGGAGCTCAAACTCCGCAGCTAAAGCCATCAACACCCGCCTCCCCTCCTCCAGACCCGGAATGGCTTCTCTTCTGCTGAGCAGGAAGTTCACAATGTGTCTGGGAACTGCCCCAGACTGCACACCCTGCCGCACGCAGCTCCTAAGCATTCATAAAAACACACAAAACCCGTTACCGGCTGTTTGCGCTGCTGCTCAAACCCATCTCTCCCGCTGCCGCTCCTCTTCCGCGCTGCCCCGGCCGCAGAGCCACCCAGGAAGTTTATTCCTCATGGCCGGCGTTTCCTTCCAGGTTATGCAGCAGCTTCCCGCTGGCTCAGCTCCGATGGGTTATTTTCAGCCTCACGCTCTGGATCCGCAGCTGGAACGACAGCACCCTTGGGCAGGGGGCAGGGACAGCATCCCGCTCACCCAGGCCCGCATCACCCAGACCCACCCGAGCAAACCCGTCCTTTCAGGGCAGCAGTTGCGGGTGTTTTATGAAAGA